GTGTCCAGGGATACTCGAGAAGAAGATATATATGCTATATATTTCTATATATTTTCTTTTATGTATATATATATACATACACACACACACACACACACACATATATATATATAAAAGAGTGGGAGTGGCTCGCTTCAATCTATCGATGTTCGAGCATTTCGAACGTATCTCAACGAAAACTTGGAAGGAGCGGTTAGGGTGGGTAGGAGGCTCTCGACGAAAGGATAAAAGATTTGAGATACGTAGACGAATATATGTAGGTATATACGTGTACATCTTATATATAAATATATATATATATATATATATATATATATATATACACTGAGTGTCCCACATAAAGTATCGCAAAGATGTAATAAAATTCGAACTTCGTTCCATTTAAAGATAAAACACGATTTACTCTATGAATGATAACGATTCTAAGAGAATTTATTTTTTGATATTATACAATTCAATTCAATTGATCGTTAAAATAATGACAATAATATTGTACCTGTCTTTTATATTGTATATAAATAATATATAGTACCTATACTAGATAGTACCTATGTCATTGTCATTGATATTGGAGTGAGGAAATGTCGATCGTAATTTCGAAAATTCCGTCGTATCATTTGAGCGTTTCCCTTTACTCTTCTTCGTTTTTTTTCTTATCTTTTTGTTTTCGTTTTAGTCCTTCGGAACTCTATACTACAAGAACGATGACGTAGAGGAAATTTCGAAATCCGATTAGACCACGGTTACTTACTCGTTCGTGAGTAATACCCGCGTGAGGTTACGTAGTACATACACACATGCGCACACACACACACACACACACACACACACATACACAGAGAAATGTAGAGAGAGAGAGAGAGAGAAAGAGAGAGAGAGAGAGAGTAGAGCTACCGTCGTTACTTTTCTTCTCTAAGACAGGGTTGGCACTGGGTGTGCGTGTCGTTCACGTTTAACCCTTCGCCATCGACGGCTTTCGATCTATTTACGTCGTTCGGTGAGAAGGGAATGGATGGTTCAAATGTGAGCACCAAAGCCACGCGAACCTAAGAAATTTTTGGAGAGCTTCGCGTGCTTCGAAAGCTCGACATGATATTATATTATCCTCGGTCTGGTGGGATAGTCTTTCGATCGATCCATTCTTAAAATCCGAAAGAAATAAATGAAAGTTAATATTATCGATTCGATTAAATTATACGAATACATTTTTGTTTTTCTTTCTTTTTTTGTTTTTTTGTTTGGATTTTTTCCTTTTTTCAATTCTTTCCCTCTTATTCATCTTTAAATCGAAGCGATAATAATGTTGATAATGTCATACCGTTAATATACGATCAGCGTAAACCTAGTTATTTATCACGGCCGCGTATTTCCAATATCGATGACGCGGCCCGATATTGTCACGAGAGAATATTACTACTTTATTTACCAGCGATATGAGACTCAAATGAGCAACCCGTATAGCATCGCATTAGTATATTAGCACTGTATTAATGTACGATCAATAATGCAAGAATAGTAGGATATATTTGGATCGAATACGAACGAAGAAATTTCTTTTAGTACGATTAAAAATTTTCATTCGGAAGAAAATCGAAAGTGTATCGATATAATTTTAATATATAGTTTTAATTTTTAATGATTTCACTGTTTTTTTTTTTACATCCTATCCCTTTGAAAATATACGAACAAAATAAGAAATAGAAACGAATTAGACTAGGTTCGTTACATTTATTACTCGAGTATGCTTCGAGTATGAAGTAAATATATATATATATATATATATATATATATATATATATATATATACAGTAAGCTTTAAACTTCTCTTCCTCTTTCTTCGAGCATCGTCGAGACTCCAACTTCCGAGATGGGAATCTCATTGTCGTCGGTCTCTTATCGCGATTATCGGCGCGTACAAACGTGCTGTGCGATTACCAACGTTTCCTCTCTTGGCTCGCCAACGGAGAGAAAGGCGAAATGAAAGAGGCAGCGAATGAGATAGAGATAAAGATAGGTAGAGAAAGAGAGAGAGAGAGAGAGAGAGAGAGAAAGAGAGGGAGAGAGAGAGAGAGAGAGAGAGAGAAAAAGTGATAAAGAGAGAAAGAGAAAGAAAGAGAGAGGAAGAGGAAGATAGAGATAGAGAAAGAGCCAGAGAAAGAAAGAGTCAGAGAAAACTGTCCGGTTACATCGATGAAAGGAGAATCGTGCACTGCCGATTCTATTCGCGCGATGGACGTAGAGATACAAGATTAGGAAGCGATACCATCGTCGGATTAATTATGCGTAATGCGTCGAAGCTGAGCAAGTGTGCGAGCACACGCGTTTGAAAACGAAGACGCATTTTGCAACGAAATGCTGAATCGGTTGGTACGATGATAGGACGTAGACCATTAGAGATATACCACTATGTGACCGCCATTGCTACTATTACAACTACTAACACCCATCGTCGTCGTTGGCGCAGTGCACTCAGTGTAACTCGCGTAGACCGAGAACGAGCGGTGCATTCAATTATCATTGTTAACTCGTACGGTTTACAGATGTTTCCGCGATAATCACGTTAATCCTGCCTAGCGTATTAACCAGCATCGAATGCCAACGGAGTAACGAGGGAGGCACGGTTTCTCGATACAAACTCAGAGAACGAGAGTGCACGACTTAATTAGAGTCGTTGGAAAAATTCGGAATATTGGATGGCCGTTCGATGGTCGTTCGATGCGATCTATCTATCTATTTATCTATCTATCCATCGTAGTGGTAGTAATAATGTTACTTCAGTATAATACAATGTTCGGATGTATCTCACGGATGTATCCGTTGAGTCAAGATCAAACGAGTCGAATCGCCTTTACGAGGGTGGATTACGTCTATTAAGTTCCTGGCCTTCTTTCCATCTTGTATTACTAGTTTGTAAATAGATTTAATCGCGATACTATCACTTCTAATCTCAGTGATTAGAACGATTAACTTCCCGTAGAATCTAATATCACAAAATAGATAGTTTTTACTTAAAATTGTTACTTTTTCTTTTTTTTTTCTAAATGAATTGCAATGACTAATTCCGACTATGCTGGAGCAACGAAAGCCATATGTATTAAGTCGCTTTTATATAGCAATTTGTATTTCGCATAATTTGTAAGCGAATGATTATGCAAACGACTGTGTTCAAGTACACAATGAACGTTTTGTATGTTAAATTCAGTTGGTATTCGTTATATCGCTTGAACAGAGAATGAGCATATTTGATGGCGGCAAAATGAACCACATTTTTTCGATGGGTTCTTTTTGTGAATATGTATGTTTATGAAGAGTATGATACCGAGAGTTCCAGTTGCACTTGCGAGGATTAAACCATGAGAGAAAGAGAAAGAGGGATACGCGTTGTTTAGAGCGACAACGCGTGATGAAACAAAACACATTAAAGCAATTTTCCAAATAGTAAATGCGAGGACGACGGATGAGATATGTTTCTCTATTTCTCTCTTTCTCTCTTTCTCTTTGTCTCTCTTTATCTCTGTTTGTCTCTATTTCAATCCTTAGGAGCATTAGCGTAATGTGCTGAGCATGCAAAAAAAGAAAAAGAAAGAAAGAAAGAAAGAAAGAAAGAAAGAAAGAAAGAAAAGAAACAAAGCTTGGTCGCTCGCGAGTGTATGCACCTCATTATTAATTTTTCTCGGACGCCATCGAGTAGAAATCGTAAAAAAAGAAATAGAAAAAGAAATTTCATGTATGAAAGAGATCGAAATTTTTAAAGGGTTCATTCGTTGCATCATCTTGTATACTTCAAAATTCTTTCGAAATAAAAACGCGATGTACGCATTGCGTGATCTGGTCTTGTGCCAGTGAATGAAAACAAAAAAAAAAAAAGAAAAAGGAAAATAAAAATAAAAATAAATAAATAAATAAATAAATAAATAAATATATATATATATATATATATATATATACGTATTTTTTTTCTCACGCAAACTTTTCTCTCTTCTCTATTTTTCTTTTTCGAAAACTACGCGCGTTGTTTTACCGAAAAAACGATGTTTTCGGCGCGATGGCCCGTACATTTTCACGATTCGTCGTGTGGTAACGCGCGAAACGTGGGTGCAACGATCGAAGAGAGAGAAAGAGAGAGAGAGAGGAAGAGAGAGAGAGAGAGAGAGAGAGAGAGAGAGAATGAGAGAGGGATGGAAAAGAGGATTCTACGCCAGCGGCGCTCTTTCGCTCTATTTCCATCTCCCTGCGTACGGTGTTCTCTTTTATCCTTCTCTTTCTCTCTCTCTCTCTCTCTCTTTCTCTTTGTCTCTCTCTTTCTCTCTCTCTCTCTCTCTTTCTCTCGTTCGCTCATCTTTTCGCTCTCGTGCAAACCAGGGTAGAATGTTTTCATTCGAAGGTATCCTATTGTGCGGCGCTCGGTAAACGCCGAAATGCTGATGCCGAAACTGTTTTCCTTTTTGCCTTCGTTAACCCACATTCACGTATACATTCGACCCACGCCTTTTTTTCACCTTCTCCTCCCCCCTCCCACTTCCCATTCCCCTTCCCTTTTCTATCTCACTCCCTCCCCTCCCCTTCCTCCAATCCAACCCAAACCATCTTCCCTTTCTCTTTTTGACACGTACATATACACAAACATAAATACAAACACTTTCCATTCCATATCTCTCTAGTTGTTTTATTTGTTCGGTTTGATGGATTAAGCTGATTTATGACGTTTATCCTTGATGTCAGCTGCGTATTGGTAAGGGAAGCCATTCTCTTCTTTGGACTAATACTTTGGATGATTCTGGTTTTTAGTTTTCGTTAGATCGTACAAAAATTTTTCGTATTAGAAATATCAAAATTGCAAATTGCGCCTGTGAAAATATTTGAAATGTTTTGAAACTTTATTATCGTATATTATTTTATTATTATTTATTATTACAGTTTAATTTAACATTAATATTGATTAATTGGAAAATATAAAGAAACCAATTTGTAATAAAAATATCCTTATTTTTTTCTTCCAGGCGTAGTCGGAGCTCGAAATCTGAGTGCCATGGAGTGCCGCAAGGGTCGACGGAAAGGTCTGCTCGGTGGGCTGCTCCTTGCATGGCTATTAACCAGCGGTCGTACAGTCGTCGCACGAAATATAGGTAAGAATCGAGAAATCTTCGTTCGCGTGTGAATCTCGTGGGTTTAAATGCAATCTAGATTTTCTCCTTGGTTGTACTTAGATAACTGGAAATACGAAGAGGGTAGCACACTGAGTATCGGAAATTATGTGCGGGAAAGATAGAAATCGTCGTATCTTTGCCCGTTACCAATGCATGTACATGAATTTACCAAATCGTTACATAGTTCCATAGACGATGTTGAAATGCGATTGTTGTTTCATACGATCGATTCTCACACTAAATTAGAAACTATAGTTTACTCGAAAATCGTACGTTGTTCTTGAATTACAATTATTTTTTACGTGACAAAATTGATTATTCGAATACAAATTTTTTACGTTGTTATCGTCTGTTCTTACGAAATAAAAATGCGCCGATCTGATTAAATTTACATACTTTTGATAATTTAACAATAATAACTATATTACGATTCGTACAAAATTTACAATTATAATAATAACTAAAGATGATAAATTTTTGTTTAACTTGAGATTGATAACGTAATATTCAAGCCAGAATTATAGTACGTTTTGTTAATAATGAATGTTAATTCCTTTTAATTAGTCACTGTAAGAGATCATACGGTTTGGAACAAGTTATATTTCAAGCAATGAACAATTAGATTAGTGCCTACGTAGGTAAGTCTGAAATAGTTCAAGAAGATTTTGACGGCTTACTCTCTCAGAAAATAGCTCTGTATATTTTTTAACAGCAGGGACACTCTCACAGTAATTATTTCGGCTTTATGGCTCTTCAATTCGACCTCTTTGATGGTAGCCAGGCCTCATCATAAATTGTCTGCACCAAGAGTAACCTAAGTGTCCTTGGCGTCTTCAATAGTTATATATGACTTTTTAAAGATTTCCTACGAGTATTTCACATCTGCGTTGCACATTGCAATCAGCTCGATTATTAACATTGCGCTCGTTAATAATATCGTAAAATCAAAGCTTTTAGTTTATTCAATTGCAGATGCAGTACGTAGATAATACTGATTTCAACCGCATCTATGAAAGTGCTAATTATAATATCGAGCTGGGTTTGCTATACGCTTTGATATTAATTATTCGGCATGTTTCTCTTCGAAGTTAATATAAACGAGCAAGCTTATATTTTTATTATTTCATCGAGAATGCTCGAGAACGTTCTTTCAATATTCATGATCGTCGCTTATATATAACTTTTAACGAACCTTTAAATCGATCGATATTCATGTAATAATGATATCGAGCAAGAAAGAGAGAGAGAGAGAGAGAGAGAGAGAGAGAGAAAGAGGGGAAGGGGGAGGAAGCTCGAATAGAATACATACAGAGTATCGATGACATTGCCTTTGAAACGCTACAAAATTATTGATTTATCGACCGTATCGTAATTACATTTTTCATCATTCTAAGTAATTCAACCGACACCCCGTTGATTCGATCGACAAGCGAAACCGAGCAAATCTATATAAAGTATGGATAATTAAGCATCGAAAGCTATTATTCGCGTACGTCTCTGTAATTCATTTTCAGGTCGTTAGCTAACTATCGTTTTTAACGAACGGCCATATTATTAGCAGCTTATGTGGTTGTGCAAACCGATGAAATCATTATTCTGTATGATATTCCGTTTGGATATCGTATCGAACGAAGTCTATCAAAAAAAAAAAAAAAAAAAAAAGAAAAAAAAACAAAAGAAGAAGAAAGAAAAAATAAAAAAAAAGTAATTAAATAATTATCAAAAGAAGAATGATATAGACCTGTCTATAATTATGGGTATTATATTTGTAATAACGTTCGAATTATTAATGATGGATAATCTATATGAGAGATAGTATCGATTGATCTAGATCATGTAGGAATCATTGTGACGAACGAAGCCCCACGTTCAATAGCAATCCTATTGAGTGTCCAATTTGGAAAACGCGTTGGTAGAGAAGAGAAGCGGTAAACGATACGAATCCCTACGTATTTCCACGAATGCTTTTGGTCAAAACTGTAGCGCGACGGGTAATACACCAACGAGAGCTTAACGTCGAAACGTTTATCGAGCTCTACGAGTCCTATCGTTTGGGGTCTATCGACGTAAAACGTAAAATCGTGGATAAAACCTTCTTTCTTTATCAATGATCATTCTCGGTATACACATACCGAGTGCGAATTTGCGTCCATTACATCACAATTTGGAGAATTTTCTTTGGGGAAAAAAAAAAAAAGAAAAAAAAATGAAAAAATGAAAACAAATAAATAAATAAATAAATAAAATAAAATAAAATAAAGAAAGGAAAGAAAAAGTATTGTTGCGCAATATTCCTTTGATATCTGTACAATTTATTTGTTATCATTAATAATAAACGTTAATTATTAGGAATATCCTTTATTAAAATATGTATCTAATAAAAGGAATAAAATGTAGATATATATTCTAGGAATAAATCATTATTTCAAATGAACCTGGTTGTAAAATGCAAGAGCGTAAACTTCGGAGCGTGTTCATCGAACGATTATTAATGAGCTCAGTCTCGAGGGCGATTTCATCGTGTGTTCGTCAGGGTCGAGGGTCACGAAAGAGACTCACGTGGATCTCGAGAGAGAAAAAGAGACAAAGTATAAGAGCGTAGAAGAGTGAGAGAGATCGTTCCAATATTTCTCTCTCTTCCTCCCCCAACTCTTTCTCTCTCTCTTTCTATTTCTTCTGCGATTATTATACACTCCGTCGGGTTCAATTCACGAGGATCGTAGGATTTTTCTTCTTATTTCTTCATTCTCGTCCTCTATCGATACGTGTAACCCTTGCAAACTCGCCCACGCGTACGTGCTTCACGTGCATAGACGAAAGAAGAGCCAAACGATGGATACATCGAAAATTCCCATATCGATTCTATCGTATTTTCATCGATCTATCATGAAAATTCTTATTTTCTTTTATTTTCTTAACTTCCTTCCATTTATCTATAAATAATAAATATGTTAAAGAATTTATAAAAGAACATTTTTATTCCTTTGTCCTTATTATTTTTTTAAACAATTTACTTAAATACTTCTTGATAAACTATCTAAACAATATCTCAAATAATTAGAATCTTTTTAAAAGTGAATACCTGTTCGTAGTGTCATGCATCTCTAATCGAATTTTAATCGTAAATGTTAAGTGAGAAAGTGAAAGATTGAGAAACGGCGAGAGAGAAAGAGAGACAGAGAGAGAGAGAGAGAGAGAGAGAGAGAGAAAGAAAAAAGAGAAAAAGAGAAAGAGAGAAAGAAAGAAATAGAGGTGGGGGAGAAAGGAACATTTATTTCGAGTAGGTCGTGCCGTACATCTTAGAAAGTGTATAAAGTACCTATTCTCTGCAGATGCGGACCACCTGGGACACTGGTCACGACGCATCCTTCTCCTACTCTTCCTTCTCCTCCTTCTACTTCACCCTTTCTCTACTACGAGATTTATAGGCGAGAGTGAACAGGGGAACAAAAGCCGACGAACGATTTACCGCGGTCTCTTACCGTCGCATGCTTACATTCTGAGCAATTAATATTTATGTAGGACAGATCGGTAATCCTATCTGGCGTCCTGATACAATTTCGAGATGGGATCGGTGTTTCAAGCATACTTTAGAGGCGATAATCGTTGGAGATTGATAATCTATCTTTCACGAAACGATTTAAATTGGTTTTTTTTCTTTTTTTTTTTTTTTTTTTTTTTTTTTTTTTTTTTTTTTTTTATCAGAAAAAGGATATTTCTTTTTTCTTTCTTTCTTTCTTTCTTACTTTTTTATATCTAACATCTACAATTTTATAAATAATCAATTTTATTTTTCGATAAGATATATCGAGATACATTTCTTTTTATCATTCCTCTTTTCTCGCGAAAATAATCCAAGATTTAATTGCATTATACGAATTGAGTTCATTCATACCATTTTCCATTTATTCGAATTTATTATCTCGAATCTTAATGAACAAGTTAGTTCGGTCTATCGAATGAAAATTCTTCTTCGATTCTCATAAAAATAATTCTGGATAAATCATATCTAATATCTAATATTTGTTATAACATTGAAACCTTAATTAACAAATATTAATGTTAACTTCATTTTTTCTTTTTCATAGATCATTTGATTACCACGTTCCATTTATTTCCACTTAACGAATTTTCTTTTACCTTTTCCGGATTGTTTCAGTCGAATGGAAAATCAGCGACGCATCGATACTATAATAATCGTCCCTTTTTCTTTCCTTTGCAAAACTCTACTCTTTCTCTCTCTCTCTCTCTCTCTCTCTCTCTCTCTTTCTCTCTCTCTCTCTCTCTCTCTCTCATCTCTATCTTTCTCTCTCTCTCTCTCTTTGTATCTCTTTCTCTCTCTTTCTTTCCCTTTCGCGATACCAATGATCCGTGTTCCTAGTCGACGCAAAGTGGATAATCTGATTCCAACGTGCCAGTAGATATTATTATGGGATGGTTGACCGCGGCCTTATTTTCTCTTTCTTCCCACATCGCCTTTACCCATCGTCTCCTTTCTCATCGTATTTTCAATGAGTTCAATGAGTTTTACGCAATCGGTTAAAGAAAAAGGAGGAAGAATAAATTCGACCAAGCGTTAAGATTCTTGGAGGAGGGAAAGGGTGCCGGTAGAATTAAATCGATATCAAACGAAGGAGGAAAGCTTTCAACCCGAAGTCGACCTTTCTACCTCGTATGATGTCACGAAAATCCAAGATATCGTGCGTTCACATGTTCGTTCTCTTTCTCTCTCTCTCTCTCTCTCTCTCTTTCTCTCAGTATCCATATCTCTATCTCTTCGTCTCACGCACAGGATTTTATATAAGTGTGAACGTATATTATCTCACTGGTGGTATATTGGGAGTGAGAGGATCTCACAGAGGCGTGGAACGTCGCCAAACGAAAATCCTCCTAGACTCCTACGCTTCTCTCTATCTATTTTTATTCTTTTTTTTTATTTTCCTTCCCTTCTTTATTTCCTTCCTTCCTTCCTTCCTTCC